CCACCTAGGTACATTAAGTGCTTTAACCCCAACTCGTTTGGTGAGGTGGTCACGTAAGTACAGCAAGATCTCTCAGCTATAACTTCCATTCACTTGGTGAAGCAACCATCTAGGTAGGGAAGTGCTGAGCTCTAAATCTCAGCAATTTTGTGGTCATCACATAAATACAACCAAAGCTCTGAATCCAAATCAATCAGTGAGGTGATCACCTAGGCACAGTGAGTCCTCTAACTCCAAACTGTTTTGGTAATGTGACCATCTAGGTGTTACAAGAGTGCAGCTCCAGCCCAGTTCATTTGTTGAGGTGATCACCTAAGTACAACCAGAGCTCTCAGGTCTAACTCTAACTGTTGTAATCTAGGTACAACAAGTGCTATTGGTTCAGACTCTGATCTATTTGGTGAGATGATCACTTAAGTGCAACTACAGATCTCAGTTGTACCTCCCATTCATTTGGTGAGGTTATGACCAAGTACAACCAGAGCTTTCAGGTCTAACTCCAATCTATTTGGTGATCACCCAGGTACAACAAGTGCTATTGGCTTAGACTCTGATCTATTTGTTGAGGTGATCACCTGAGTAGAACCTGAGCTCTCAGGTCTAACTCCAATCTATTTGGTGAGGTCATGGTCTAGGTACAACAAGTGCTACTGGCTGAAACTGTGGTCTGTTTGGTGAGGTGATCACCTAGGTTTAACCAGAGCGCTCATTTCCAGCAACCAGCACTCTGATCACCAATGCTACCAATTCATCAACTGCGGACTGTCTAAAACAAATGGAGAAAGGGCGGCATTGACAGATAGTGGGTGAAGAAAGGCTGACTACACGCTAAGTTTGTGTCACAGTGGACCAACCGCCCCCGCCCCCCGCTTTCTTCACTGGTGAAAGGTTGCATTAGATTCAGAATGAATGGAAATTCTCTCTCTGCTCCACATTTGAGTACAAAATCCTGGCTCAAAGGGTTGAAGTGACAGGATAATCTCTCTGTCTGAAAGTGGGACAGCAGCAGGAGACTAATTCAGTGGTCCAGCACAATGAAAGCATAGCATTGAGTGTATGCAAAGAGCCTGGGAGAAAGTGAAGGAGGAAAGTGGCATTCAGTTGAAAGAATGGCACTCAGGCCACTCTGCACAATCCTCACACTCAACCTTGGCCTCTCACGAGGAGAACCGGGCCTGTAGCTTGCTTTTTTCTTTTAATAGACAGTTAGAGGTATGATTTTGTACTAAACAGAAAATGCTGCACTCAACAACATCTTTTCTTCACTGGAAAATGGTTAAGGAAGACAAACATAGGCCTGTTAAAACCTGTTCCAAACAAGTACGGGAGAGCGGAGCACAAACTAACCCAGGATATAAAGAAACAGGGATATCTTTTGGTCTGAGGGCTTTTGGTAATCTTCTTGTATATCCATAGCAAAACTCATCTGGGAATTTTTCACAGTAGTTTTCTCAAGATATTTCTTCAGATTCACCTTGAAGACCATTAAAGTAGCTCTTTTATAACTGTTTTTGATCACTAAGCTGTATGGATAAGTCACTGAATTTATTCCTATATTATTTAAATCACTCTGTATTTGTATGTCAGTGCAGAGATTGGAGTCCATCAGTTTCAAACTCAATTTGAAAGACAGCATTTATACACTATACTGACAAAAGTATTGGCTCGTCTGCTTTCACACGCGGATGAACTTGAGTGACATCCCATTCTTAATCCACAGGGTTTAATATGATGTCGGCCCACCCTTTGCAGCTATAACAGCTTCAGCTCTTCTGGGAAGGCTTTCCACAAGGTTTAGGAGTGTTTATGGGAATTTTTGACCGTTCTTCCAGAAGCGCATTCGTGAGGTCAGACACTGATGTTGGACGAGAAGGCCTGGCTCGCAGTCTCCGCTCTAATTCATCCCAAAGGTGTTCTATCGGGTTGAGGTCAGGACTCTGTGCAGGCCAGTCAAGTTCTTCCACACCAAACTCGCTCATCCATGTCTTTATGGAGCTGCTTTGTGCACTGGTGCAGTCATGTTGGAACAGGAAGGGGCCAAACTCCCCAAACTGTTCCCACAAAGTTGGGAGCATGAAACTGTCCAAAATCTCTTGGTCTGCTGAAGAGTTCCTTTCACTGGAACTAAGGGGCCGAGCCCAACTCCTGAAAAAACAACCCCACACCATAATCCCCCCTCCACCAAACTTTACACTTGGCACAATGCAATCAGACAATTACCGTTCTCCTGGCAACCGCCAAACCCAGACTCGTCCATCGGATTGCCAGACGGAGAAGCGTGATTGGTCACTCCAGAGAACACGTCTCCACTGCTCTAGAGTCCAGTGGCGGCGCTTTACACCACTGCATTTGACGCTTTGCATTGCGCTTGGTGATGTAAGGCTTGGATGCAGCTGCTCGACCATGGAAACCCATTCCATGAAGCTCTCTACGCTGTTCTTGAGCTGATCTGAAGGCCACATGAAGTTTGGACGTCTGTAGCGATTGACTCTGCAGAAAGTTGCCAACCTCTGCGCACTATGCGCCTCAGCATCCGCTGACCCCGCTCTGTCATTTTACGTGGCCGACCACTTCATGGCTGAGTTGCTGTCGTTCCCAATTGTTTCCACTTTGTTATAATACCACTGACAGTTGACTGTTGAATATTTAGTAGCAAGGAAATTTCACGACTGGACTTGTTGCACAGGTGGCATCCGATCATGGTACCACGCTGGAACTCACTGAGCTCCTGAGAGCGACACATTCTTTCAGTAGTGTTTGTAGAAGCAGTCTGCAGGCCTAGGTGCTCGGTTTTATACACCTGTGGCCATGGAAGTGATTGGAACACCTGAATTCAATGATTTGGATGGGTGAGTGAAAACTTTTGCCAATATAGTGTATTTATGTGCTCATTTTGAAAATCTGGCCTTTCTGGTTCTTTTCTGGTCTGTAAAAACTGGACGCAATCGGTATGAACAGACCTTTAGTCATTTAATACAATTACAATGTATTCCCTGCTTGTGCACTGTGTGCTGCCAAGCACAACAGCCTCTCCCCTCCAACAAGTCTGATCATAGTCTATAAATTAAAATGAAATTAAAATGGGATTTTTCAGGCCTGATAGCCTTGTGGGGGTTGAAAAACTTAAAATAGTGGCCAAATCTGTTAATAGTCGGACTCACCTCGACCTAATTTGCATTAACTTTGTTTTCATAATAATGACGGTTCACCGGTTGGCTCAAATGACATTGCGTGAGTGGCAGTTTGAAAAGATGTGGTGGAGTTTCACAGGTCCAGGCAGAAGCCTGTGCTAGCCTTAACCCTCCTAGTGCTGGTGGTATTGTGTGATGGGGGGGAGTCCTAACAACTGGGTGGAACTGGATACGACTAAATTGGGGAGAAAATTGAAAAAGACTGTCCACATCAAGTACAGCTATTGGAAACACTTGGCCTTTTAGTGCAAAACTAAAGTGCACATGTTTACGCAAGCAGTGCAGATAGAGTGACACGAGAAAAACAGCAATCAACAGAGTCCATTTCTGAACGCTCTGTAGTTGCGTCTGGTTAGTGTGGCTTTTGCCAACCTCTTGAAACGCTTCATACAGGTCAGAGTGTCTGTCTTTAAGGAGGCGGTCACAGTCTGGATGTGCTCACTCCAACAGTTTATACTGTTGCGTAGCATCGCTTGCATGCCAGCTTGCCATGAAGCTAAAGTACGTCCAGACAGCACTTCTGCTGCTCTGTTTGCCAACCAGGACTGCCCAAAAAGCTCTAAACTGGCTTCAGTTGCCATTTCATGAAAACACACTGCATAAGTGAGAGAAACTCTTATGTAATGGAAGCCTGTGTGAGCCAAATGAATGAGCGAACAGGAAAGCCGTGGATGATATGGACAGAATCTTTACTGCGGGAAAAGAGGTTTAGTACCTTTCAAATTTCAGAATCGATGTGTATCGATACATCCACATTTTTGACATCACTAGTTTAAAGGCTGCATGTTAAAATGGCACGTTATCATCTCTTTCAGGGTGATTTCACACCGGCCTCGTTTGGTCTGAAGTTCTGAGGATAAAGAAACTGCAGCAGCAGCATATAAGGGTAGTTTAGTGGCACCAAAATTAATCTGTTTCTTCTTTTTTCTCCATTTAAACAGAAATAGCCACCCACTGAACTGACATCAGACACACACTCCTCTACAAACCAACAACCCAACAGTGCCGTTCTTACCACATTTCTTCTCTCCACATCAACCACATCTCTTCTTCATGCCTCCTCTAAAATGTGCTACTAAGGCAAAAACATTTAATCCTCAGTTACTTGTAGATTTACTGATACTTTAAAATGCTGAAGAGTCATTCTGGCCTTGAACCAAACTGGAAACAATATTTTAAACATAAAGTTAAAATGAAACATTCTCTCCAGGTAAAGTTAGGAGTGTCCTAATAAACACTTTCAGTGTCTGCTACCCGACCTGAGCCTGACAAGGCAGAGTAAACAGTTTTTAATACAACATTAAGCTCTGGTTGGGTTTGTCTTGTAATGAGTGATTTATATGGTAGATTTGGCCTTTTTTAAAAAGAGATTTCATGCACTCACACACTCTCTCTCTTACACTCTCTCTGTCCCTCTCCTGTAACGTTAGTCTATAGAGTGGCTCTGGACTTGTGGGTCAATCCAGAGCCACTCTAGTGGGTCAGTTTTGGTATCGACTCAGCTCGCTTAGGTCCTTGATGGAGGTGATAAATAGTACCTGGTACCAGGTTACCAGATTTCCTTAGAGTAAATTGGAATTATGGTGTCATAGTGCTGTAATAAAACATGAATAAAGCTTTATTAAATATATATAAAGCTGTAAAAAAAAAAAAAAGTGGGGATGCATAAAATACCTTCCGGTTCTTCTGCTTCTAAACTTTTACTTTCATCCATGCTCTCTTCTCTTACAGAGAACCATCCACCTCCTCGTGCTGCTTCAGTGAAAGCCTGAGCAGCAGAGCAGACTGTGTTAGGGCTCATTAACTCACCGTCTGAGGGTTCATCTTCCCCGTCATCAGAGCCAGCAGGTCAGAGTCCGACATAGAGATGGTACAGTCCGCCTTCTTAGCTGAGAGAGAAAGAGAGAGAGAGAGAGAGAGAGAGAGAGAGAGAGAGAACGAGAGATACAGACATAAGATTTTGGTAACACTTTATAATAACAGGCCTTTATAAACATCACATAATGATTGACTAATAGTTCGATAATAAATGGTAATAATAATCTAACAGTTACATATTTACTAATAAACAGTATGATTTGAATCATTAGCTGTTTACTTTGTGAATCAATATTTTGTATTGTACAAACCTAATCATTAATGATAATTTATTAAGAATTATTTTGTTATTTGACACTCATAGCTTATGAAATATAAAGCTTGAAATATTTAGGATTTAATTACTTGAATGAAAACATTTCATAATCATTGAAATAACTACATATTGTCGACCTCCTGTTTTAAATGATACAGTAGTTATTTTAAGTCTTGCTACCTTGTGATGCATAAACTTTTCATTCTGCTAATCATTACTAAATCGTTTACATACTGATATATAAATACATACTTTTCTTTTTCTGATTTTCTCCCCAATTTGGTCACGTCCAATTTCATTTACTAGTTAGGACACCTCCAATCACATGATACAGCCAGCACTAGGAGAGCGACGCCAAATACAATCTTCCTCTGAGGTCTGTGAAGCGCCACTGAATCTTTTCAAGCTGCCGCTAACACAGCGTCATTGGACAGCTGAACACGCTTGGAGGAGAACACTAACCACCAGTTCTGTAACGTCAGCTAACAGACACCTGCGCTGGGTGGTATCACACCGAGTGATGGAGGATACGGGGGCTATCCTACCCACCCAGAGAGAGCGAGACCGGTTGCGCTCTCTTGGACTCCCGTCCACGAACGGCTGTAGCATCACCAGGGACTGAACTAGCGATCTCCTGATGACGGGGCCAACGCTCAGACAACAAAAGTGTTCATTTATATGTATTTATGTATTTATAGATTAATAATTATCAAATGTACAGTGTTTTATTTGTCTTTATGTCACTTAGTAAATAGTAAATAATTCAAATTGCAGCACTGATTAATTTAGAGGCCTGTTATTATATTGTCAGTTTTAGATATTACAGTTACTAATGTTTTAACTTTAAAATATACTAAGCTGTAATTCACTTCAGATGGACGTCTGAACTGTACCAATGGTGTTGTTTTCTACATGGTTTTTAAAAATCAGTAAAATGAAAATATAATGGAAGTAAAAGGGAAAAAAAATGAAATGACATCTCAGATGTTTATTTATACATAATATATGATATTGTATTTTTTTGGTAAAAGTCTCTCTTTCCTCAAATCAGTAAAATGGAAATAGAAAAAAAAAGTATGCGTTTATATAAATTGAAACAAGTTGCGCTGCACTACGTTACAACACGTAAGGGATGATACTGAATCATAAACAAGACAGACAAACTCACAAGTGTCGTTGTGAACGCAGCCCTTTCCCTCCTTCACGTCTACGATCCACATGGCCTCACTTCCGCCCGGCCCATCCTTCACCTTAAAGGCAAACACGCCTCCGATCTTCTTCACGAACTGATCCCCTTCCTGTACACGTACACAGACCATACAGCTTAGACAGGCAGGGCATTCTGGGAACTGGAGTCTTTGTAACACATTCTCTTTATTCCTTTCTTTATTGTTTCTGAGCTCAAAGGAAACAGCAAAGATTCAGGTTTGGTTTTATATTAATGCTGTCAAGCCATTTCAGCTTTTTCAAGTCAAAAAATATTAAATCTCAAAAAAACTGTACAGTCAAGCATCCGTTCCTGAATGCACAGTTAGTTCTGCTGTGTCTGATCCACTCGTACCAGCACAACACACACTAACACACCACCACCACGTCAGTGTTACTGCAGTGCTGAGAATGATCCACCACCCAAAGAGTACCTGCTCTGTGAGGGTCCATGGGGGTCCTGACCACTGAAGAACAGGGTAAAAGGGGGCTTACAAAGTATGCAGAGAAACAGATGGACTACAGTCTGTAACTGTAGAACTACAAAGTGCACCTATATAGTAAGTGGAGCTGATAAAATGGACAATGAGCGTAGAAACAAGGAGGTGGTCGTAATGTTATGCCTGACCGGTGTATGTCTTATGGATTTTAAAAGTACATAAAGGACCATAAAACAAAACACATTCCACCCACCCCCATCCCAAACCTACTCCAACAATATACTCAAAAACCAACACCAGATCTGACTTAAAGAGCTGATTTATGGACATGTAAGACCAGCGGAGACCAATCAGACTCGCATGCGAAAGCAGAATAAATAACTACAACATCACAGTCCAGCTCGACAGAGCACCATCTCAAACTTGGAAACTCAAAGCTATGTCGCGACTGTATTTGCGGTCAGAGCGTGGATGGCTCCGTTACATCAGATCCAGACATCAGCGTGGAACTCTGAGTGGCTGGGATGTTCCAGGACTACACAAGAGTCTTAACAAGAAGCAGATCTGTGAGCCTCATTGCCTTTATGCATCTGCTAAATATTCCGGGACCTGCGGGGGATTTTCCATACAGTGACACGTTGCACTCCAGCCTAGCAAACCATCTGGCAAAACACAGCAGAACCAGAGAGAGCAGAAGATAAAAACCTCAACACGGTGTTAACAGAGTTCAAACAAACACGCATCATCTCCTACAGTAAACATCTACTGTCTGCTGTTCAGCTCTGGACTGCAGTGAAATCAGGCTGGTTTGGTGAAAAGGCAGGACACTGCGACACGTAGAGCTGCCAGCACTGTCTGAATGAATGAGTTCTGGACGTGCCTCTGGTCTCTGGACAGAAGCTCAGCTGAGGGTGAGGGACAGGGTCATAAAACAGACACTAAGACTGAGAAATACGAGGAGAACATGGACACTCAGAGGACGTTTATGGTGCTATCCAGGGTCAGAGAGAACACTGCAGTTTATATAGTAGCTACAAAACTGCGCAAATATAAGAGATGACCTTTCATATGCTTCATTTCCAGACAAAATAGCCATTAAATTCAACGTATTTATTTTTCATATATGTTTGTGAGAAGCGTAGATCTAAGATAATCCACCTGCCTAATGAACGAGATGGTCAAAGTACTATAAATGTTTTAAAACTGCAGTTAAAAATATTAAATGCTAGAAAATGGGGCTCCTAACAACCACCTGGAAGACCCGGTAGACAACAAAACTGCCCCCATCAGATAAACAGCACTTAAAGCTTTCATCTCTGAGAGAGAGGAGAAAATCAAGCTGCTTCAGATCTGAAAACATCCACAGGTGTTTCTGTCCATCCTTCCACTGTGAGCAGACGACTCAGCGCTGTGGGTCTGAAAGGATGTGTAGCTGTTCAAGAAGAACCTCACTGAGAAAAGGAGACGGACACATCAAACAAAGAAGCTGAACGATGGACTGACCACCCCAGAGTCCAGACCTCAACACCACTGAATGTGTTTGATTACTTCAGAAAATGATCAACCAGCTTCTAAGACTGAACTTTGGAGGTGTGTCTGCAGATTCTTTGAGGAACTGAAAGTGAGTCTCCTGAAAAGAGTGGACGCTGGAATAAAAGACTGGACCAATAATGGAGAAAAATGGCTATTTTAAATGGAAAATAAATAATTGAAGGGTGCTCCCTGACTTTTGCATGGTATTTAGCAGTATATATTATGAATTATACATGTATTAAATATATATAATTACAATTATTTAATTTAAATAAAGGAATATAACTTTATTTTACATGTTTATTTTTCCAACAAGCTGCTTTTGGTTTGTGTCATGACTCCAATGCATGAAGGACTGCAGTCACACACTACTCCACCACTACAACCCTTGATGAAGCCCCGCCTTATCTTTGATCCTATAGGATAGTTCAGAAACACAGAAAATGCTTTTGATATAGGCTACTTGACCACTTTGAGCTGAATTTTTCCAGCTTTTCCTGGAGACACAACAACAGAGAACAAAGTGTATCTCATCCAAAAAAACAACTGGAAAGTGGTCCACACTGTGTTAACACCACCAAAACCAAGACAGACTCCCAACATCTGTGGCACACATACCTCCTGCAGCTTCTTTGCAATCTCCTGGAACACTGCATGAGCCTTAAAGCCCTCCAGGCCTGCGGGGGCGCTAGTGAACATCGCCTGGATGCTCTGGGAACTGTAACAGAAACACACACAAAAAAATACATCATGAAAAAGAGACTCAAGCTACAAAACATCTTTCTTTGACGTAATCTACTGGTCAACAACTTTGATTAAAACCCTCTCTACAATCAGAGTGAGGCTACAATGTCCAGAAAAGAGGGCTATTACATTTTCCCTGAAACGCATACCAATCATAAGAGGTCAGAAAGCATCTTAATGTCACTCTGTACCTGTTCAAGGAGGTCTTGGCAACCCAACAAGAGCTGTATATTTGAAAAACATGCCTTACACAGATGGGAAAACACTTGACGACGGCTCCATCCCTCAATCAGACCTGCAGTGGCAATTAGCAACCTGGGTACATTAGGCTGCTTCTGCAGACTCTGACTGCAGCAGATGGTTCAGTCAATAAGAATAATTAGGTCCGTCATGTTCAACACATTTAAGTTGAAAATTAATTGATTATACATACATATATATATATATATATATATATATATATAAAAATTGAAATTCTTTTTTGTTTATTGTACACCACTATAAACCTTAAGTGGCCAAATTGGCTTTCTTACATCCTAATGGTTGATACTCAGTAGCTCCCAAAAAGACACAGCTTGACCTCAATTAATCCAATTTTACTTACTGCTTCCCTCTAAATGCATTATTAATAAACATTGAAACACATCTGAACAAAAAGCTGCAGAGTAAGAAGCTTCAACGTTAACATTTAGCACATTTTTGAGTTAGAAAGTTATACTGACATACGTTTAACTATGTATTGTTCTTTTTTTTTATATTATTTGGACAATAAAAATATTTCAAATATGTTTTAGCTGTTAAAAATGGTCCTTATTAAAAAGTAGAGGGGCATTAAAAAATAATACACCTCTGTTAACCTACAAAAACAGGTTTACTAAAGCATCTAAAATGCTTTCTATTGAAAATCAGGCCTATATATGATATGGCCAAAAGTATGTGGACACTTATATGAGCTGGAAATAATGGAAACCATGGGCACTATTATGGTCGCCCACTGTGGGAATTTGTGTACATTCAGTCAAAGGAACATTTGTGATGTCTCTTATTTTGGCGAGGAGGTCTGGCTCAAACAGGAAACAGAAAAGATTTTCTCCAAACTGCTGCCACAAACTTGGAAGCATATAATTGTAAAATTTGCATTAACATCACTCTTCACTGGAACGAAGGGGCCCAAAGCCTGCCCTAAAAACAGCCCCAGCCCATTATCCCTCCTCTACCAAACTTTACTGTTGGTACTATGCATTCTGGTAGGTTACACCACTCCAGCCAAAGCTTGGCATTGAATCATAGTTACATCTTAGGCTTGTGTGCAGCTGCTTGACCATGAAAACACACTTCATGAAGCTCCCGACACAGTCTGTGTGCTGATGATGCTTCTATGGACAGCATGAGACTCTGCAGTGAGTGATGCAACAGAGGATAAGTGACTTGTGATGCATGCTTCGGCACTCGGCGGCGCCACTCTGTGACTTTGCGTGGTCTATAGCTTAATGGCTGAGATGTTGTTGCTCCTAAATGCCTCCGCTTCACAACAGCAGCACTTACAGTTGACCAGGGCAGATCTAGCAGGGCAGAAATGTGTGTCCACAAACTTTTGGCCACATGGCGCATATATCGCGATATATACGGAAACCATTATAAATTTTAATTATACTGTGACATAACCTTTTGGCCATATCGTCCACTAATACTTCAGTGCTTTTTTGAGTCAGTTCAACTTGAGGGAATAGTTCACCAATGTCCACCAGATGAGCTAACTCAAAAAAGCCATGAAGAAAGTTGTCTAAATATTTTAAGTTTATTTTTTTAACAGTGCGTAGACCTTGTTAATATTTTCTCTCTTGAAAGCTCTCTGTGAACGTTCTCCACTCAGAACAGGAGATCTATGCATAACAGGAAACCAGGAATAAATTTCTACAGACCAGATCATGCAGCGTTCACACATCCCACGCATCTTTTTTGTTCAGTGTTTTTCTCTTTTCTGTCAAAGTTCTGAGAGAATTCCACGGTTTAATCAGCCTGATTCAAATCGTCTTTCAAAACACTTTCTCGTTCTGCTGACCTGGTAGTGTTTATACTTCAGAAGCACCACAGACAGAATAAATTTAGTCTGCGAACAGACAGGCACGTCAACAAACAGCTGGGCATGCTGTGCCAGACTACTGGAGGTAAACTGGAGAGCGGATGAGTCCCAGACTGATTCACAGCAGTCTAGCATCGCAACATGTTGTCCTCTCACGCTGAACTCTTTGGGCAAAAATGGACGCTGCTCTCAAACGTCTTCATCAGATCAAGTGAGGTGACTGGAGTTTTTACAACAGTTCGAAACAAGACTCAATCACAGTGACCCTTATTTATCAAAATTGCATAAAAAAGAAAGCAGACTGACCACTTTTATCGACGTATGAGCACATACTACTCTGCATCTGATTCGTCAACTTTCATACGATGTGGAAACAACCGGAGCACAATCGATTAATCAACTACAGTGCGTGAAATCAAGCGCCACCCGACCAGCACCTGATTTACATGAAGTGCACCCTAATTCAATCAGATGTTTCAGTAGGGAGCCAATGAACTGAGACCATTCAGCGGCTCGTGAGCCAATGGCTGATCTTGTAGGTGGAGCAAATCACACAAAAACATATATATCAGAACGCAACATCTTGTCATTAACAAAGCACCCAGTCTTCATCAACAATCTCCAAAATGCTCTGCACTGTTATCACAATATGAGATTCCATTAAAAATACATAATTAAGATCTATGATGTCCAAAGAGATCAAATTAGCTCACATGTGCTCTGTCAAAGTGATGTAATTAGACTGGCCATTTGTCACAACAAACCTGCATCACCATAAGGAGCTTTCTAAACTATTACACGTTTATTTTTGCAGGTCTATATAGATAATAAAACATTATCAATGTGTTACATATTGAAGCCTTTATAGGAAAAAGCTGTTCAAGAAATGTTTGTAAGCCTTAGAGTGCACGAAAAAGTGCTCAAGTCTGTACTTCCTGGACATGAAAGCATCACAAACATCACACTTTTTGGCCATATTGTGCCCTAATTCAGAGTAACTGTGGACTATTTCTGCTACCATTTACCACAAAATTCACATAAAATTCAGGTCACATAAAAGTCAACTGGTGTTCTCAAATAGTGTAAAACAAATGAAGAAAGAATAAAAGTCAACTCGCAAGTGTTAACATGCCATTCGCTACATGTACCATGAACAATAATGGAACTAATTAACAGTTTGACTATGTAACGACATAATTTCCCCTCCAGAATGTGCCCCACAATGTTGGCAAGATGTTCTTCCTGCTTATCAGGAAAGCAAACCGATTCCGTATTTTCCTCCTCCAGTCCTGAATCCCACCTACTCTGCTCAGAGTGGCCACTTTCAGCGCAGAGCCTGATTACTTGAGGATAAAGTTAAATCTGCATTACTGGAAAGCGTCCAGCATCTGAGGAACGTGGGCTAAGCTCCTTCAAACCGAACCCGCAGTAATTTGTCCCTGGAGCTAACCCTGAACAGGCCTGCCCGAGTCTGGAGGAACTGATGTGAACACCTTTGTTCGCTCTTAAGACCAATTTGTAAAAGACTCGCACTGATTTCAGGCAGCTTTCTAGTCAGCTTGTTAGTTCAAGTATTTAAGTGATGTATTAGGTTAACGCTGGTTTTGTCCAATAGGAATGTAACTGCCACCTCCTACGACTGAACACGGAGATGGTTCTTCAGGAAAGGCTATGGTTCTAAATAGGTAAATGGTTTTTTGCAGGGAGAAATCGTTCTTTAGATGGACGGAGAACGTGTCACCAAAACCTTCTTTCAATCTTATGATGTCAAGCTTGTTACAATAGAGAAACCCTTTTTGGTTCTATACAGAACCATATACAACACATTCTCCATCCATCTGAAGAATGCAAAGAACCATTTAAGCATGAATTGGTTCCCTATAGTAATTTGGCCCTGGAGCGAATCTTGAACAGGCCTGCCCGAGTCTGCAGGAACTGATGTTTAGTGAACACCTTTCTTCACCAAGAACTGAACATCCTAAGAGCGAGAGAGATCACTCTATCTGAAAAAGACTCATTTTAGATATCTTTCCAGTGAACTTGTTGGATCAATTTATTGAATATTATACTTGGTTAACGCTGGTTTTGTCCAATAGGAATGTAACTGGTACCTCCTACTATTGAACAGGCTTGATTTCTGGCTGAGTTGTTCTGATATTATCCCTCAGTTCTGGACATTTTATGTTTTTTCCTGCTCTAACAACTGATTTTTTGCAAATAGCCTTGATTGATAACTGATGATCCTGAATATGACATAATATATAAGATATCATTTAAATGACTTCACAGTAATTTAATGTCCATGTGGTATAATCATTCTATGGTTAGTTCCAAAACAGAAATAGAAAAACTGCTCTTAATAACAGGCCTTATACATTTACACAACTCTGCCAATTCCTGATCCATATAAATTATAACACTGACTGACCCTGGAGTGACCTCTAATCTGACCCTGAATCTCAAATTGCCCTAATATTGCATTAAAACTATGGCTTTTATAATCAAATACTGCTCTAAGCCTCCAATAAGGAGACCTATGGCTGTATCCCAAACGGACATGTAATGCACTACTCCTCTGAACTAAACTTCCCCCGAGTCTACTGACCAAACCACTGTTGGGAGTCCTTCTTTGTAGTAGCCACATAATGTTGTTTTTATGTAAAGTTTTTTTTTTCTAATTCATCTTAATCAATAACTTGGCCACTTTTTTCAGTGCAAGGTGTTACCCTTCAAGGGTTCTTTAGTAAAGAAAATGGTTCTGTATAGAACCATGAACACCAAAGAACCCCTTTGCATGATTAAAGATTTCCTTGCATCATGAAAGGGTTCTTCAGATTGATGGAGAATGTGTTCTATATAGCACTAAAAAAAGGTTCTTCTATTTTTACAAGCTTCACATCGTAACAACAGCAGAACCCTTTATGGTGCTTAAAAAAAGAAAAACGTGGTGCTTCAAGGGCATGCATGGGATTACAGAACCTTTTTGAAAAGGGTTTTGTATAGCACCCAAAAAAAAAAATGTCTATAGTATTAAGCTTGACAAGGTAACAACAGAAGAACCCTGTTGGGTGCTTTACAGAACCCTTTTCAGAAAGGTCAAATACAGAACCATCCACAGTACATTTTCCATCAATTTGAAGAACGTTTCATGATGCAATGAACTCTTTAATCATGCAAAGGGGTCTTTGACTGTTTGTGGTTCTATACAGAACCATTTTCTTTACTAAAGAACCGTTGAAAAAACATCTCTGGAAAGATTACAGCAGATTTTCAGGCGAAGAACGCTATGTAACAGAGTTTCTTTGTTCTCCAGCGTTCTTCGCCTGAAAATCTGCTGTAATCTTTCCAAGAACATTTAAAGTATGTATATAAGTAGTTAATCAGTTGATGTTCTGTTTATACACACTTGAAAGATGTTTTTTCAAGGGTTCTTTGGTAAAGAAAATGGTTCTGTATAGAACCACAAACAGTCAAAGACCTTTTTGCATGATTAAAGAGTTCATTGCATCATGAAACGTTCTTCAAATTTATGGAAAATGTACTGTGGATGGTTCTGTATTGAACCTTTCTGAACAGGGTTCTGTAAAGCACCCAGTGGGGTTCTTCTGTTGTTACCTTGTCAAGCTTAATACCCTGAAAACTGGCCTCTTGAGAACCTTCTGGACGAGCTTGTGAGGCCTTTCTTGAGAGGCCAGTTTTCAGGGTTTTGGTTTCTAATCAAACAAAAGCAGAGAGTCACTAGATGTTATCAGAGTTGGATGCTGCCTCTGCACAATATGCTAAGAAATATTACCGGTTCTCCCAGTTATTACATGGTAATTATATTGTCATTACAGAAAGGTCAAGCTAAAGGATAATGTTCACAACTGAATCTGGACTATTGTAATATACAATATCTTTGTGATCCAAATTATAGAATTATATAACTCTGCAGACAATAAATGTTCTTCTAAATTTACATTACTGTCCAAGTTTATTCCTTCAAAGTCTTTCAGGAGGGTAAAACAGTAATATAGGGCAGAAAAACAACACAGTGTACAGTGCAGATCCAAGGAGGCAGCAACTGGGACAAACTCCATCTACAGTCCTGTGGTTCCCCCTGTGGAATCACGCCTCTGTTACGAGGTCAAGCTTGTAACAACAGAAGAACCCTTTATGTTTCTGTACAGAACCATATACAACACATTCTCCGTCAATCTGAAGAACCATACCACCGTGCAAAGAACCATTTAAGCATAAAATGGTTCCATACAGAATGCATGGTTCTGTATAGCACCACAGTCTTTACTAAAGAACCCTTGAAGAAGTGTATGAAGTTTCCTAATAAAGCAGTTTAGGCCTAATCCTAAACAGGTCCATGTGGACTACAGAACTGAGGAGCCCTAATCTAGAAGCTCTCACTGTCCTACAGAAGATCAGAGGGTGATTTAACACCCCTATTCGACACTCAGCACTATCAGATTAAAGCTGTCCTGCCTGCTATGAGATCCTGCTGTATAAAATGCCTGATTTTGGGGAAACGCTGATCTACACGTCATCTGCACGCACCGACCGCAGAGCGCGCATGATTTGTAGATCAGTGTTTTGGATCCGTGTGAATCGAGCGCTGCCACCCGGTCAAACTCATCAGCAGGGGGTTTAAACGGGCCGACGGTCAGACGTGGCTGTTCTTCAGTTCCCCTATCAGCGCTGCAGCCTCACCTGCTCCGCTCTGGAAGAAGCATCGTCACTGTTTACCGTCAAACCGCTGCGGAAAGGACGAAGAACCGACGGCACTTCCCGATGATCCAACACCACCTTCACGCAGAACGGCCCAGACCTGACCAACCGATCACAGATGAACACATAGAATAAGAGTTTGGAGCCCGAATCCACGTTCAGTGTTTATTAGACTCTAAACGGAAAAGAATTGACAATATTATTCATTTAAATCAGTAATTTTTATTACTGATTAATCAGATTTTCCATGTGAGTAGGTCCCCTACAGACAACACACTTATGGTCTGTGCAAAAGTTATGGCCTGTTTATATTTGCTTTTTTTTCCATCAAATAAACAGAAATTTGCATTAAAATGTGCATAAAGTGCCATTTTTAAGACTCTGTGGACTCACTTAGAGAATCAACTAAACATGGTAAATTGACTACCAAAAAACATGAAATGTGAGGTTAATTGAACAACCGTGTCTGTTTCTGAAGTTAACCAGTGTACATTTTGGGCTCTAGTCAAACAGAATGTTTAACATTTTCAGCACCTCACAATTTAAAAAAGTTCATTGAATTAAATAAACTCATCTACATTGTTAAATAAGTGGAATGTGTTTATATTTTCCGAGATTGTGTTGAGGCACTGAGAGAATTAAAAACAGTGCAGTGCTGCCATCTGTCGGCTACATGTTAAACTGCACAAGCCAAGTTCATTAGTTACTTTGTGCTTCACATCATTATACAAGGATTCCAGCTCGCGCTGAGCAATAAACACAAACTATTTCTCTGTAGAAAAGGATGAACATTTTACCTCAGTTGTTCAAATGTAATTAAAAGTTGTCTATATGTAGATCTTGAATAATCGAGATATTCATTCAGGTAAAATGTACTTATTTATTAGTTCATCAGTTTATTAATGTATGATCATCATCAGATAGGAAGTTAGGTGGTTAAAAACATGTCGAAACACAAATGCAACCTCACACAACCCCTTCTCAGCATGATCAGTGACTTTTATTCTGCCGGTGGGCTGCTAAAGCGGAAGTGATGTGACAGCCCGTGTAGTCGATAGCAGTCTGTTTACTTCTGTTTTACAGTGTTCAAGTTTTACCAACTATACCAACTAAAAATGGCGTAATATCTTCATAAAGTGATCATAAATGGCAAACTTTTCTGGCGGTTCTCTGAAAATACATTTAAAATTAACCCTCCACTGCGTGCATTATGAGGGCAATTTAAAAACAACACTTTGTTGCATAAAATGGTCCTTGATTATTAAATCATAAAGTTATCTATTATGATTACTAACAATCAGTCCCAATTATTACATTCAAAAACATAAAAAAAAATAATAATAATGTGTGCAGAGGTCTTCTTGGAGTATGTTGCCTTGAGGCAACATTGTGAGACTATGGGAAGTAATGACACAGAGCCAAGTTCTCTGAAGTGGTGAGACCTGTCTTGTGACTGGCTAAATCCATTCCATTGTCACACACTGTTACTTGTAGGCAACAAACCTATTTCTGCAAATCCTCATTACAAAAAAATTGACACTGAACGTTAAAAAATAGGTTTAACATGCCTGCTAAGAGATAGTATGACCAAGTACATGTTTTTTGTTGAGATACTCAAACTCTTCCCTTTATAGTTAACCCTATTATTGTATTTAAATATATATAACATTATTGTAAAGAGAGGAAAATGAGTTTGTTGCCCAGAGGCATATGGTGCATAGAGGGTTAAGATCCAGAGAAAATCAGACACTTCTGCAGAGTTTACTGAAGCGTCTTCATTTTTCTTCAGACAACTCTGACAATTCATCTCACATATGAATTATAAAAATACTCTGTGTGCTTTCACAAGATTTATTAACTATGTAAACTAAAAAATGCATAATACCTGCAAAAAGTGATCATAAATGACACTCTAGGTCCTCAAAAATACATTTAATAAAATTAAGATTCAGTGAAAGAATTCTGTACAGTTTATTGAAAAATTATAACTATAGTCAATTTCCTTCAGACAACTCTGCCAACTCCTGATCCATGTAAATTATAACACTGACTGACCCTGGAGTGACCTTTAATCTGACCCTGAATCTCAAAAGGACCTAATATTCCGCTAAACCTATGGCTTTTACAATCAAATACTGCTTTAAGCCTCCTAAGGAGACCTGTGGCTGTATCCCAAACGGACATTTAATGCACTACTCCTCTGAACTAAACTTCCCCTGAGTCTACTGACCAAACCACTTTTGGGATTACTTGCTGTGGTACCCACACAGTAGCCACGTTTACATGCAGCCTGATAATCCGTTAATAATCCGACTAATAGCTCAATCGGAATAGAATACGTCCATGTAAACACCTCAATCGGAATAGTCTAATCCGATTGAGGCCATTCGGAATACAATTTCTATCCGATTAAACGAGGTGGGTAAACTTCTAAATAATCCGTTAAATAGAAGAATAATAGCCATGTAAACGCCTGAATCCGATTACATTCCAATCGGAACGTGTAAGTATGTTCTGCGCATGTGCGTCGCGTCACGGCGAAAGTTTACACCGCTCAACATGGCGGAGCAGAAACTGGTCTGGACTTCACGTGATGTTCGCTGTCATGGTAACGTTTACTCTAAGCGCTACTCCACGCATGCGCGTCATTTTGCATCGGATTACTTGTAGTGAGCATGTAAACGAAGATTTTCCATCAGATTGTTGAATAGAGTGCATATAAACACCTCAGTCTAAATCTGTAATCGGATTGTATTCAATCGGATTGGCAAAAATCGTTGCATGTAAACATAGCCAATGTTGTTTTTTATGTATTGTTCTAATTCATCTTACACAATAACTTGGCCACTTTTTTGCAAGGTGTTATCCTTAAATTATGGTGCTTCAAAGGTTCTTTGGTAAAGAAAATGGTTCTTTATAGAACCATAAGCACTTAAAGAACCCTTTACATGATTAAAGGGTTCTTTGCATCATGAAATGTGCTGTAGATATGGCACCCTAAAGCGTTCTTCTGTTGTTACAAGCTTGCCACTGTAACAACAGAAGCCTTTTGGGTGCTATATAGAACCATCTACAGCACATGCTCTGATCTGAAGAACACTCTCACGATGCAAAGAACCCTTTAATCATGCAAAGGGTTTTTTGAGTGTTCGTGGTTCCATAAAGAACCATTTTTTTTACTAAAGAACTCTTGAAGCACCATTTTAAAGAGCGTACATGCCTTTTAAGATCCCACCAGATTTCGGAAACGAAGAGCATCACAACACTTAAAATCCACCTTTTAAAGAGTTTAGTTTGTTGTGAAGATGCGACATGACGACCAGGCAAAAAAGAGGGAACTACTCGCACAACGAGCTTTCGCTACAAAAAGAACTACAATTCCCAGATCTTCCCCACATGATATAAACAAAGATAAACTGGACCAAACCTGTCCATGCTTTTATAAACGCACAAGAATTTCACAGAACACAGAGTTTCACTGTTGCTCCAAATGTCAATCAGATTCCTCAGTGCATGTAAACTCTTGCTCTGATTTCTTTCGGATTTCTCAGTCTGAGCATGTGTGAAAACACATGGCGGATAACTGCAGAAATCCAATTAGGATCAGATTAGTGAGTGCATGTAAAAGCACTCAATGACACAGTTGTTGTTGTTGTTTTTTTTTTTGTAACCCACCACTAGGTGTAGCATCACCTCCATCAAAACTACATTAGACTGTTGAACAGCCCCTGCACTCAGAAATGTGTGTTTTAAATGGTTAACTTGTCTTTGGAGGCTTATTATGATTATATACACTGATATTTGTATTAAATATGTTACGTCAGCGCCGAGTTTATCACTGAAAACACAAGTTTCATCTGAAAAAACGTAACCATGGGCCGCTACAAAATAGCTTGACGAATGAGCTTGAACCTCCCACAGTCCGGTATACTAAAATAAAATGAGACGTTCATGGGAGGAGGGAAACTTGCAAAGCACTACATAACATATCTGCATTAATTTAGCTAACTTGTTTGAGATGTTTAGACTGTGCAAAATAATATAGTTAAAGTAGATAAACAGTGTTAAATGTTTAAAATGATAAGTGTCAAATTTATATTCTACATCATATTAATAAACCGTCGGATATGTTTTAAAGCTGAAGTAGGTAGCACTTTACTGCAGTAGCTTAGCTTTACAAAACAGCTTCACTCCAGCTCACTGAAGCTTCACTGACTCAAATTTCGAGAATAAAGATCCAAATGATGAAATCTAAAAGATGAAATGCTCATATTTAAAAGCCACTAGTTCTTACTTTCTGTATGCACATTGTTCAAACCTTAGCCTAAAATGCATATTTTACCCTAGTCTACAGTGTGCAGAACAAACTGAAAAGGTGGGACCACTGAATATAGATTTAGTAAGAAATGAGGAGGACAGGATGGAGAGAGGAGAGGAGAGTGTGAGTGAGAGTCACTATCACTGCTGTTTACACTGTTCTGCAGCTTTTCTGAACTGTGGAAATTTCTTCTTCTTTACGTCTCTTACAACCATTTCTCTAAGCCTCGAGCTCAACTGGTCTATTTCCTTGTTTTTAGCCTTAGCCAGTTCCTCCATCTCGCTTCTCAGCTCTTTCTCTCTCTCCTGCATCTCATTTCTCAGCTCTTCCTCTCTCTCCTGCATCTCGCTTCTCAGCTCTTCCTCTCTCTCCTGAATCGCTCTCTCCACACTTTCATACATCTCGTTGGTGTAGCATCCACCACCATTTTCTGACACCATCTTAGAGATTTTGTCCATCAGTCCAGTGACCTGAGTGCGGTCTGCCATGTTCTCATTGTTAAAGATGTGATAGCGTCCACCACACGTCTCCACCACCTGACTCAGCTCGTTTCCTGCTGTAGCCAAATACTCCTCTATGGTCTTGTTTCTTAGTCGGTCCCCCCCAGTGAAGAGAACGATGGTGTATTTGGATGCCTTATCACCAAAGATCCACTGCAGTCTCTTCACCGTCTGTCGATCCTCCCGAGTGAAGCGACCCACTGTGAGCACCAGGAGGAAGACGTGTGGTCCAGGACAGGACAGAGTGATACATTCAACCAGTCTGTTAATCACTGCTGTTTCTGTCAGGTCAGTGTCAAATAAACCAGGAGTGTCCACCACAGACACTTTACAGCCATCAACCTCTGCTTTGTCCTTCATACACTCCTTGGTCACTGACTGGGCAGAATCTGACACATCAAAGGCCTCCTGGCCCAAGATGGTGTTTCCAGTAGAGCTCTTTCCCACACCAGTCTTCCCCACCAGCACTATCCTCACTTCAGACACTAAAAACAGAAAACAGAGCAATGTTAAGGAAGAACACTAAGGCCTTCTTCAGACTTTCAGACCTAATCCTCGTTTTGGTTAATCCAGATTGTATCCAGACTGATTTTTGATAGTGTGAACTGCACAAAACCACATGAAATCCAATTTTGACCACTGGAGTAATGGAAGTGCTGGGATTCAGGAAGAGTGCAGAAGATTTATGCCTTATGCCAGAAAATTTTGGAGGGTGAGATGATGGACCTCCATCTCTCCTGCAGCCACGTTTGAAATCTGCATCACCAGCACAGTTACATAGTTACTGATGCCTATGTTGTTACCATAGCAACCCATGCAGATAGGTTTGAGATCTACTTGCCATTAACAGTGCAGTTGTCTCAAAAGATCTGGTTTGAGAAAAAAACCCAATATGCTTGCAGTCTTAACAGAGCCTACAGATACAGATATTTCCACTAATAACTGTTCCAAAAGTATTTATGGATACATTGATCGAAAACAGTATCGAGATTTTATTAATTCATTTATTTTTACTTACGTTACATTACATTATCTTAACAGGAAACTTACAGGTAGGAGGTGGACCCATGCTGCTGGTCTCTGTTGGCTCTTCGCCAGCTGTTCGCGCTGCAGCAAGAAAATAAAGCAACAGGTCACTCAACAAAACCACAATAACTCCATGAATAAACGAAACGATGGTAAAACATCAGTCAGTGCTGTCCAGGTCACTCCACTTGTGAAAAAGAGTGAGCCTTTACGTTTTAACCTCCATTATTTAAAGATAAACAGCGCTGAAATCGAAAGTAAACCTGGGCTGCTGGCTGATCTGGTGTGAAGCCGAGTTGTGTCCGTCTCTCTCATGTTTTAAACTAATAAATGAAATAATACCAAAGTTCTGAAACGGTGTGTCTCGATATATAAACTGAGAAAGATCTCAAATTTGATAATAATCGCTCACCCAGTTCGCTGTGCTCACAGTTCGCGGCCATTTCGAGTGAACAAGCGAGTAATAGAGGCTGTTTCCGGTTCACGGTAAGTTTCGTTTTAGCCTGTGCGCAGACTCCGGGTCCCGGATGTAATCCGGCAGTCTGTGTGTCCAGTCTTCCTCAGAGCTCCGTCTTCATGGAGCTCCCCGTTTGTTTCTACATGGATTTAGTAATGAAGCGGTTTTAACGCGCCGTTGATGAGAGAAACTAAAGGAATGAGTTTATCAGAAGAGCAACGTCTTCTACAGGTTTAACCCTGCAGTCTACAGAAACTACAGCAACTACAGAAACTACAGAAATGGCCCACTCGGACAGTAAGTAGCCTTCAGTGCTGAGACTGTAGCGTTAAGCTGAAGCGGGTCAGATCAGCTCCGGGACTGTGTCCTCCTATCCTCGTGTCCTAATGGCTGGTTTAGTATTTGTCACCCAGTCAGCCAGTGCGTGCTGGCGTGGAGTTGAGCCTAACCCGTTCGCCGACTCTCCCTGAGGCTGGGCCAAAGTCGGCAGCCGGACTAGGGCCTGTGTCTTTTTGAACATCGGCCCCAAGTTTGGCCAGCAGACTTGGCAAATGACTTACCGACTGTGTTTCTGCCTTTACTATTGGTCAGTTTTAGTGCTTAATTAACATAATTTTCTTGAATATTCAAATTGTATGGTATGAATAGATGTTCACTGTTATAAGTAATATATGTATGTACATGATAATGATTATTGTATTATTATCTAAATTACACCTGCATGCACACACATGAGCACACGCACGCACACACACACACACACACACACTTAAAGGACAAAACAATTATTAGTGGTAATTTTTTGCATTGTTATGTTTACAAAATACATTTCACTGTTATTACAAGCAAGACTTCAGCTCTGGTTTTGGACCCAAATACAAAGGAGACACAAGACACTGTTAATTAAACATTTATTTTATAAAACTCGAATGAAAACAATGAAAACATGAATTCTTAAAATGAAAATGAATCATAGTGAAATTAAGTACAGTTGCAGATCATTAAGAATATATAATATATGCCCAACACAAGCTACAAACCAACTGATTCTGCATTCTGTTTACACACTGGTAGCTTTTGCATGTTGGGGAATCTTCCTTACAAGTAGTATCAAACTTTGTATGTGAAAGTGAATATACTGTTATGTGTACCATTATATACACTCTGTAATAATCCCATAGAGATCCAAGTGGAAATGAGCTTTATTGTAGCGATAATCTGTTAAACAAAGCCTACATGTAAGGCCGGTTTCCTGGACAGGAATTACGGCTAGTCATGGACTGTTTTTTCCTTTTAATGTAAAATCTTCATTTAAAATCCTGTGTTGTCCAGAACTATGCATAATCCTTGTCCAAGAAGCTGGCTGACAAAGTTTATATGCTATACACTGCTTATATAATGAAACAGCTTGCACAAGTTCATGATCATATGTCAAAAAAATCCTACTGAAATATCCTACGTTTTATTGTCTTATGTGAGGTTGTGCACATGACCATAGGCTAAAAGATCACCAGGGGCAAAAAATAAGTTAACTTAAATTTCAGAAAACCAAAATGCATAGCCTGCTGCCCATGCTTAGTATTTCCACATATATCCTGAATATTTACAGTTCTATTACTGTAGAAATCTATGTTAAATTTAGGCGTGGTGTCTAAGTAGAGCTATCTCACAACTTAGAGCAGAGAGCTCCATACCTCCAACCTGAAGCAGAGCAGCGCAACTATAAACAGAGCAGAGTTAGAGCAAATAAATGATCAAAAGGTGTGGTTAGGCGTGGTGCAGGAACAGCTATTGTTATTATTTTCATTATTATTTAGGACAATAAATGAATAAAATAAAATGTAAGTGTACAATTAGAATTTTGAAGTAAATAAAATTAGATAAACTAAAAACAAATATATATCTGATGGACAGCTTCTTGACCCGCCTCCCCAACGACCTATGAACTGGTGCAAGAACGTGAACGATGACTGGTTGGTGTCAAACTTGTAGTCTTGCCAGTCTCCCAACCAAGACATGCCATATATTTATGACACTATGTTTGCCTAATCTGACATGTAGTCTGATCCCAGTATTATTCTCTCCTGAATACATCTATAAAAATCTGTCTTATACTTTCCATCTGTATCTTCCTTTTTGTCCCTGAAATTAGTAATATGCTGGCGATATGCAGTACGATTGAACTTAGGACGGCACACAAAAGAGCCCCAGATCTGTTTCCACAAGAGTTTGCTTTAGGCTTGCTCTCTTTCTGGCGTTGTCTCTCATAAATACGGCTCCCTGCTCACCTGTTGTCCTTCTGTGTCCGTGCATACCCAGCCTGAGTGCAGGGCAGTGCAGAGGATTTAGCTTTTAGCTCCAGCTCTCTACACTAAAATTAATACCAGCATTATATACAGTCTGCTGAGCCTGTGCAGCAGGGCCATAACTAGGACAAAAGATTTAATGAGGCCTGTTTTGCTGAAAAGTAATCATACAGTGAATAATACCAATTACACCAACTGTCAAATTCTGCTTTAGGGATTTTTTAAATGAAATCATTGCTCCTTGTTAACCCATCTATAATTGTTATGCATTTTTTCCTTTCAATTGTTCCTTTCCCATCCCTCCATTCTCCCATAAATTGCTATTACTTTTCCATATACTAAATAACCCTCCAGTTACCCTGTTTATGTTTATTTAATGAATCATTTAACTATTTATTTACATCTTTATTTTCAGCTTTAAATACATGCTGACATCACTAAATCAGGTGATCGTTTCAAAATGATTTTAGTCCATTTTACCAATCATCTCTCTCTCTCTCTCTCTCTCTTGCTGCTTGGTCCTCATTGATTGCTGAAAAAGCACACATTAAACATACATTATAAAAGTCTGTCTCTACCAAACCCCGGCTTACATGAATCACAGGATACTCGTACAATTAGACAAACTACAGCCCAATGTACCTGCTGATTTTTGAATTATGTTAAATGATACTTTGCCATCAAAATGCTAGTTTACACTGATCTCTCATGCTGGATGTAGGTTGTTATGCGTAGGTAACAGTACAACTTAAGTTCATCTAATCGCTAATATAGTCAACTAAACACGGAGCCTGCAGCCTAAACTGAGCAGCTACTGGAACTAAAGCATCTAGGAATGTTAAGAGAGGCCCAAATAACGAAAAAAACAGCTTGGATTTACAAGCATAATCTGTTAATTACTCTCATAAACTCTCATATTTTTATTCTAGCATTGTTGTTATGTGTGCTGCGTACCTGAACATCTCAAAACGTCAAAGTCAGTTAGCTGAATCTGTGTGCAGAGCTCAGCTCAGACTGACTGGTTAAGACACTCGTTACTCCTCACCTTTAAACGCAGGGTTTGAGGGTACCGTGTAGCGGTCCCCATTCCTCCTGCGGAGTCTTCGGTCTTCAGAGCTGCAGTCTCCGAAGTCGGCCAACAGCGTGAGGCACACAACACCATAGTCTCAGACAGTAAAATCAGCCAGACATTTTGAAGAGATTTCCGTAAAAACGCGATTAAAGCCCTTCTATGCCGCGACCGTCCGCTAACGCGGTGAGTGCTGAGGGTTAAACGGCTCCTAACGGTCGCGTTCGTTTAAACAGTCGAATCGAATGCTTGGAGAAAGCGCGCGCTGCTGCACGGAGCCTGCAGTGGGCGGAGTCAGACTGCTCAGCTCCTCCTCTGCCGTGTTTTAGTTGGTCAAAAACTCCGCCAGTCACTTAATTTTTTTTCTTGCTTTTTGAATCTCAGCACAAAACTGTATATTAACCTGAAACACAGTTTAAAGTAGTTTGTGGAGCGCAGTTCATATTAAATTATGATAAAGTTCTCCAAATTAATATAAACATTAATAATGTTGGTTCAGCCGTGGTCGCGTGGAAGGCGTGGTCATGCGAAGCGGCAGTGCGGGGCGACTGAGATATTAACTGAGAGCGACAAAAACCATTTGAATAGTTGGGACTGATAGCTTGGAGCTGTGTTGTTCTTGCTGTTTTGACCTGGGCTGGTTGGTGGGGTAGAAGTGCAGTAGTGCTTACCGTCATGTGTGTCTGTTGGGGACCTGCCTGCTATTCAAACATTACTTTTCATGCAGACTCTATGATGCATACGTTTCATATAAACATCTCAAAGTATTTTTATTTGGTAATGTATTTATGGTTTTGCCGACGTATTTTCTCCAATAATTTTTGTAAAATCAACAAGGTATACAAAGAAAAAATTGCTTAAAAAGTCAGAGAGCTGAACTCAGGTGTTTCAGTAATCTACATTTAATAATTCATTTATTGGATTTAGCATATTTCAGTCCTGGAAGTGCATATCATGACCTATTTTTTATTTTGAAGTTTAACATTTGGTTTAGTTTTTAGTTATTTACATTTATGGATATGACATTTCCACTGACAATAAACCAAGGATGATTAAGGATCAATCAAAGTTTATGATACATTCATGTTTTCTTTGTTGCTACAAATGCAGTTATTTTTTTCTGTGCACTGCTAAGTTCACACTCACGTTAGTTTATTTCCAAAGATTTAAAACTGAAAGCAATGTAAGACAGGGAAAAGTGAACCTGTAAAACAAACTTTAGTTAGTGAACCAGTTCATAGAGGAGCTGGAACGTCCCATGCTTAAGGAGGAGTCCTGGTAGAACAAATTTCACCGTCCAAGCTCGCAAAGTAGATAACTTTTTCGATATTATAGCTCAGTCTGTTCTATTATATGTCTATTATATTATACGTCTGTACAGTATGTCTGTGAACGAAAGACTTTTAAAGACTCTTCTGTACGTCTGTAACGTGGTCATTTGCCGACTGTGAGCCGGCACAATGACTCTGACATCACAGCAGTTAGACATCATGAAACAGACTGTTATAAACGCCAACACTGGCCCCGCTCTGGGCCAGCGCCGCTTACTGACTGCGACTGTGAGCCGAGTGAGAATGACTTACAGCCAACTCCGGGCCAGTCGTTGGCTGTCTGGGCAGTTTTGTTGAAGGTTTAGTTAGAGCTTGGTGTTGTGTTTGTGGATATTTGTGATTGTTAGGGAGATTAGAGGGAAAGCAACTCATCTACATCTGTAGACTTCGAACCATCTGTACTTATATATATATATATATATTGCTTTTAACATAAGCAGCTTCTTATGATTAATTGAAAAAAATAAATAAACAGAAAAGACTAAAAGTCTGGACTGGGCTTCTTAACCCCGCTGAAAACGCTGAAAGCACCCATAGAACTGTCACCTCACAGCAAAGAGGGCCTGGGTTCGATTCCCCGGCCGGGTGACCAGGGTCCTTTCTGTGTGGAGTTTGCATGTTCTCCCCGTGTCTCCGGGTACTCCGGTTTCCTCCCATAGTCCAACATCCATGGAGATGCTCTTAGAAATTTGCGGGAAACAAAACTACAAACCGTGAAATGCAGAAAATCCTCTGGTACCTGATCCCTCCAGCTCCTTTTCTAGTTCCTTCCCTCCTGTTGTTTTGCGGTTTAGTTGAACCTTTCAGACCACAATTTTTTCATCTTCTGGGAGTATTTCTTCCTCCCTACTAAATGATGACGCAGTGTCAGTGTCCTTAAATTTTCGTTTTTGCTGACAATTGTTTGTACACATGCTTGTGGCTTCAGGTATTTGGAAATTGCTCCGAAGAATTGTGGACGTCCACAATTTTTTCTGACATCTTGGCTTGTATTTGGCTTGAGTTCTTAGAGGGCAAGGTACATAAGGCCATTAGATACAGCCACAGATGCACACCAAATATACTCCTAATTATGACGACTGGCAGGACCTTCTAAAAGTCACTACATAAATTTCTGGAATCTTCCAGTATATTTAAATTTGGTGTATATAAACTTTTGACCCACTGGAAATCTGATGAAGTGAATTAAAGCTAAAATAAATCTGTCTCTAACAAAATGACAAATCGATGTTGAATGTCTGTCTATCTGTCTGTCTATCTGTCTGTCTATCTGTCTATCTATCTATCTATCTATCTATCTATCTATCTCATCACTTTTGGGACAAAACCCTGTATTTCCTTGTATCTCTCATTTGGAAATGGTCCAGAAACACTTGGCATAAATAACTCCATTAACTTCCATTAGCAGTAGAAAATGTTTTTTTCTTCTCCTGTTAAAGGTTCCACCCTCATCGTTTATTTCTCCTTTTTTTTTGTTGTCTTCTCGCTAGGGGAGCAGGACCTCCGGGTGGTCCTTCTGGGGAATGTAGGCACAGGCAAGAGTGAATCGGGCAACACGCTGCTTGGCTCGCCTCGCTTTTTGTCTGAGCTCAGTGGCTCTCCGGTCACCCAGCAGTGTGAGGCACAGACTGTGACCTTGGGAGGAAAGCGGATCATGGTGGTGGACACTCCAGGACTGGCTGCAGAAATGGACTCAAACACAGCAAAGGAGAAACTGCTCCAGTGCCTCGAGCTCTCAGACCCAGGGCCTCATGTTTTTCTGCTAGTCATTCGCCTGGGCCGATTCACCCAGGATGAGAGGGACACAGTGGACGAACTGATAGAAGTGTTTGGGCAGAAGCTCTACATGTTCACTATCATCCTCTTCACTTTTAAAAGAAAAAGCACCTCCATTGAGGATTACATCAGCCGTGCTGGAGACAGTCTTCAGCAGCTGGTTCAGAAGTGTGGCAGCAGGTACCATGCCTTCAGTGAAAACCCTGGTAAAAAGGATCAAGAGGAACTTATAGCAAAGATAGACAAACTGGTATCAGCCAATGGTGGTAGATGGTACACCAACACAGAGGACGAGATGGAAGATCTTGAAATAAGACTGAAGCATCAACTTTTAGGTGGTAAGTAAATTAAGTTATTTGATGAAGCTTAATAGCCAATTCATTTTAAAAGTGCTTAAAAGACTATGTTATAGATGTAAGACAAAGCATAGACCTATAGACTAGAGCTGCACCCTATATCAATAGATCATAAAGCAATATATATAGTGAGGGGCTGATCCGATTCCGATACACAACTGCAGATACCGATACAGATTCTGACACAAGAGCTCTTTTTACTTTAATATTATCATTGTTATTGTTGGTATTGGGTTTTATGTTGTATTTAAGGTGTTTAATCTTCCAATCACTAAGCATATCTGTAATAGAGGCTGCAGCTGAACTGCTGGTATGTGACACTTTTTTACCTGACACACCACACTCTGTAGTGCATATGCTATATTGCCAAAAGTATATACCTGTCTGCCTTCACATGCATATGAACTTGAGTGAGATCCCATAACACCTAGAACTGTTCCCACAAAGTTGGGAGCATGAAATTGTTTAAGAGTTAAGAGTTCTCCTCCAACTCCTGAAAAACAACCCCACACCATAATCCCCCTCCACCAAACTTTACACTTGGCACAATGCAGTCAGACAAGTACCGTTCTCCTGGCAACCGCCAAACCCAGACTCGTCCATCAGATTGCCAGACGGAGAAGCGTGATTGGTCACTCCAGAGAACACGTCTCCACTGCTCTAGAGTCCAGTGGCGGTGCTTTACACCACTGCATTCGACGCTTTGCACTGCGCTTGGTGATGTAAGGCTTGGATGCAGCTGCTCGGCCATGGAAAACCATTCATGAAGCTCTCTACGCTGTTCTTGAGCTGATCTGAAGGCCACATGAAGTTTGGGGGTCTGTAGCGATTGACTCTGCAGAAAGATGGCGACCTCTGCGCACTGTGCGCCTCAGCATCCGCTGACCCCGCACTGTCATTTTATGTGGCTGACCACTTCGTGGCTGAGTTGCTGTCGTTCCCAAACGCTTCCACTTTGTTATAATACCACTGACAGTTGACTGTGGAATATTTAGTAGTGAGGAAATTTCACGACTGGACTTGTTACACAGGTATCATCCGATCATGGTACCACGCTGGAACTCACTGAGCTCCTGAGAGCGACCCATTCTTTCACTAATGTTTGTAGAAGCAGTCTGCATGCCTAGGTGCTTGGTTTTATACACCTGTGGCCATGGAAGTGATTGGAACACCTGAATTCAATGATTTGGATGGGTGAGTGAATACTTTTGGCAATATATTGTATGTTTCTGAGTTCACCCAGTGTGCAGTGGGTCTTATGAGAGACACTGGAACATCTGAGCTCCAAATATCAGTTGTGAAGCTCATGGCTTTAACATCTATCTAACTGCGCTGCTAACTGTGATGACACTTGGTTGTAAAATTCGGGTACAGCCATCTCTGAATTTCTGGAATACAGATTTTACCTGTGCTCTAAGTTCTCCAACAGGCTGTGAAATCCATTTTCCGCTACAGATAGCGGTTAGTCATCAAGTATAATGAAGTTGAGCAGCCGCTCTGTGACCACTTTAGTTTTTGGGTTGTGTACTGGACGTTTATCGTGTTTCTGGAAAGCATCAGCGAGACTTGCTGCCGGGTGGCGTCTTCCTGTCTCTTAGCATGAGCTCCTGGTATTCTTTCACATGAAACCTCTGCAGGTGATTACACTGGTTGTATTGTACGAAGCAGCCATACTTTCACCCCTCGGCACGCTGGCCTTACACACTTTACAAGTACTGGTCTTGCTTTTCTGTGTTTCCGGACTGAAATATCACCAAACAAATGACATTTTGGTCAAACCAGCAGCTGTGATTTGCTCACTCAGTTACAGACTGAAGTTGCCGTGGGTTCATAGTAAGATGTGGAATGGAATCTGGATCGGTGATGTGTCTGTTATGTTATGTTATGTTACGTTACGGCGGGTTCATGGTCCAGTGCAAGCTGGACTGGAATCTGGATCGGTAAGTGGATCGGCCCTCTCCGTCCGATATCCAATGAGTGAAGTGACGTCAACGTCGGACCCGAGACCGATATAGGATTGGATCAGTCCCATCTCTAAATATATCCTATTTTTATCACCACAGTGATATGAGTTTCCACAGTAAACACATGGAGATATGATAAAAGTTGGAAATAGAATTTCGTTAACTTTTTGAACAGCTGAATGTACGTAACAGACGTTTTGGCACTTTTTTCTTTTCAGATTTGACTTAGGAACCACAGTTGGTAGTACTTACCCTTTATAGAGACTGCTTTGCTGTATCTGGAGTAATTCATTTTGGTATCAGTGAGAAGTAGTTCTTCCTCATGATCTTATGGAGTCTTTACTTTTGAGTCTTTGTTCCTCTCAGTGGTTCTTCTTCATGATCTCATGCCTGGATTTCTGCAAAGCTTCTTCGTGACGATGTCCGTTGTAAAAAGTGTTATAAATGTTGAATTGAATTGAAAAATCAAATCAGAACTTTTTAACGTAGCTCAAGTGCCAAAAAAATAAATTATAACCGACTGTGTTGGTCCGAATTATATTGGCTTCATTATACAGCAAAAACACTTCATTTTCAGGATCTGTATATGTTGTACATCCAGTCAAGGATGCAGTGAATTCGTACACGTTACTTTCATTCTCATCACAATATCCAACTTCATCTAATTTTTGTCTGCATTGTGAAATTATCAGTAGTCTGTGGACTCACTATACAAAAAGTTAATGAGTAATATGTTCATTAACACAATCAGAAACAAAAGAACACAGGAGAATGTTAAAAATATTTGGGTCATAATATATTTGGTTGTACATTTGATTCACATTCCTTATTAAAGTGCCCTGTATATTCCAGCCCTGATACCTAAAACAATGTTAAATTTGTTTCTTGTTTTATTTTACAAAGCAGAATGTATTATAATGAGTAACACCTGTGTTCTTTCTGCATTCTTTATTTGTGTAAAAATTAACCAATCAGCTTCTCTTTTCTCGTATGTTTAATCTTTCTTTAGCTCCTACTGGAGATGCCACTTAAGTGACATAATTATAAGGAATGTTTCATTTTTTATTTTTAGGGGGAAGCTTGACCTCCAAAACGAGTGTCTCTGAAAAACTTGGCAGGTGAGTTTTTGCATAAAGCATAAATTTCTTACAATGACCTCAACAATATGATGCTCTCCTGCAGCTGGATGTAAATCTTGGAAAAGTGAATAGAGTATCTCAGTGGTGGGAGAAATTGCTCATGATATTTGACTGACATTAGTTGTAGAGGAAATAAGCATTTGAATTATTTTATTTTTACTTTGAAGTGAGAGTCCCCAAGTCTTCTCTCATGCTCACACAAAGGATGCCTTAATAAAAGAGCAATTTATTGAGCTAAATATCAATTAAAAAGGTTCAAATTACTTTTAATAATGTAGTTGAATGTAAAGGAGAAGCTTACAGAACTCAAGTAATGTAATCAACCGCTGAATGGCATAAATCTGACTTAAGGTTTTTGTATGTGTGTAAAATAAGTGATTCAAATCTGTCATTAATGTGAACGAACCGGCGTCCTGAAATGACCCGCATGCGCACATCCTACTCAGTAACGTCACGTTAATGAATTACGTGCATCATCAGCACAAACTAACGAGCAGAATGAGCTTCGCTGAGAAGATCATTAACTCTGATCAGCTCTCAGCTTCATTATTAGAGCGAGACGAAGGAGAAAAAGGTGAGATGAGCTGCTTTTCCACCGTTTACAGGCTGTAGATCAGATTGAAAAGAATTCATGTGTACAAAATAGGAAAATCATGGATTCACCATCATTTTCCTATTTTGTACACATGAATTCTCAAATGACTCCAGAGTTATAAACAAATTATGTACAACTATAGTTATTACTAGTACTAGTAACATAGAGTAGTATTACTCTGTTATTGTTTTTCCTGAGCTGAATTAGGTTTGAAGAAGTCACAAATTTAATGAAAAAATAAATAAATAAATGAGTGGAGAAACAATCTGTGTACAGATGCTTCCAGACAGGTGTGCTGGATGATACCTTTAAGCAGATAACATCCCACTGTGCTCTGTGTCATGTATAAAAATGCTGAGCTGACCCATCTGACCTCAACTTTGGATGTAAATGACTGTGAAAGAGGGTCATTATTGGGGCACAGAGCTTCAGTCACAAAGGCTGCTCATCTGGCCAGTGTTTCCATAGAAACAGTGACTAAAGTGCCTTTAGGTGTATGGGCTGTGCTGCAGCCTTTACACTCACCAAATCTCAACCCAGTTGAACAGCTATGGGAGATTTTGTAGCAGCATGTTAGACAGCGCTCTCCACCTCCAACTGAGGGAGTATCTTTTGGAAGAACGGTGTTCCGTCCCTCCAGTACAGTTCCAGAGACTTGTAGAATCCACACCAAGGCACAATAAAGCTGTTCTGGTCACTCTTGGAGGTCCAACATCCTCTCAGGACACTTTATGTTGGGTTTTCCTTTAACTTCTCATACATCTCTGTTATTTTGTTAAATTCCAAGCGACTTAATGTTTAAAGAATTATTTTTCTTTATTATTTTATTTTAACAAAAAGCCATTTTAACCTGTGTCCCACATTTTATGTGCACCCCTGTTACCCAAACCTGTTCCCCACATTAAAAAATGGGACGTTCCATTTATTATGATATAAACAGGAATTTGCATCATCTCCTTGTTTTCTGCAGAAAGACCATCAAACAAGTCAGTATTTTCATTCTGTTTTCTCAATTTACACACAGAAAGCTGATCTGGCTGCAGTAAAGCTTGACTATTCAACACTGTTGTTACGACCTGTCTAGGGGTTTGTGATGATCATAACATAAAAAAGGACAAAAGAGAGCCAGATGACGTTTAAACAGGTCAAGTCGTGTTATTTTCTTTTTATGCTGCTCTTTTGTGTACACGACACAGGAGAACGTCAGAGTGGGCAAGCGCCAAAACAACAAACATAACCAGTCTAGCTAGAGATTGTAGAGAACTAACTTACCTATGTAAACATAAAGAAACAAAACTACAGTCAGTCTTCCCGAACTCCCTAACTATACCAAAAACAGGAGGAAACAGGGACAAAAGAAATGGCACCCACTCCTACAACCTGGTCGGCATAAGAGTGAACATTTACAGAGACAGATCGTGAGCTTATGGTTTAACTGCAGAGATAACTGGGTAGGGAACAAGAGGTAAAGCTAAGCTATTTCATTTGGGAGGAGAATAGACAATCGCTAGCAACAAAACAAACAAACAAGCTGCGCTGCGGTTCACATCTAAAACAGTCGCTCCAAGCCGCCGTGGAGGAAAGCCTCAATGATATCCGGCGCAGCTGTCGAAGATATACTCCATGCAATTTCAGCCAGCCAATCAGATGCAATTTCGTTACGGGTACTCCAGCCAATCACACACACAAGTGGGCGGGTTCCTAATAAGCGACAGTATGAGAGAGAGAGAGAGAAAGAAAGAGAAGCAAGCAAAACAAAACGTACGTCCTATGGACGTAACACTGTTCCAGGTATGACCCAGGTATGACCTTTAGAGGGCGCCTTAGCTGTCAAAAACCCCAAAAATCATTAAAGATGCTATTACAGTGATATTACAAAGTCTACAGATAAACACATGGTGCCATTTGATTCAGTTCACTGACCTGAATAACTTTGTAATTACATGTTAGGTCAAATATTTCACTCCTTGTGTAGTATTTTGAATTATTCCTTCAACAATTACAGCCTATTATACTAAGTTTAAAAGGTCAATCTGAACATAACTCAGTGAACAGCTTTGATCAAGTTCCCTGATCAATTATCATAACATGTGGAGACCTTTTGACCAATGCTAAACCACTTTCAGTGAGCTCCTTTGTGAAAGGGCCCCTTATGAGTGCACTGGGTCTCATTATGGCCTGATTATCAAAGCCTTAAACATGGAGAAACAAAACCCCTTGCAAACACAGCTGGGACAGATATTTTACCATTGCTCATGTATTTTTGACATCTGTGCTGATAATCCTTTGCATGTTCTACAAACCTTTGTAGATCAGTCCATAGAAATGTAAACATATGTTGAAAGTAAAATGGTTCATGACAAATGAAGGCCTTTTGATGAACTCATTTCAGCCTCTATGCCTGTAAGGCCCAAACTGCATGAGGCCTGATTAGGCCTATTTGGCTCAAAGTGCATGAGAGCTTCTTGTGCTTATGCGTGCTTGGACCCGCTCATTGCCGCTTGCGGCTATATTTTTTCTTTATTATTTTATTTTAACAAAAAGTCATTTTAACCTGTGTCCCACATTTTATGTGCACCCCTGTTACCCAAACCTGTTCCCCACATTAAAGAATGGGACGTTCCTTTTATTATGATATAAACAGGAATTTGCATCATCTCCTTGTTTTCTGCAGAAAGACCATCAAACAAGTCAGTATTTTCATTCTGTTTTCTCCATTTACACACAGAAAGCTGATCTGGCTGCAGTAAAGCTTGACTATTCAACACTGTTGTTACGACCTGTCTAGGGGTTTGTGATGATCATAACATAAAAAATGACAAAAGAGAGCCAGATGACGTTTAAACAGGTCAAGTCGTGTTATTTTCTTTTTATGCTGCTCTTTTGTGTACACGACACAGGAGAACGTCAGAGTGGGCATGCGCCAAAACAACAAACATAACCAGTCTAGCTAGAGATTGTAGAGAACTAACTTACCTATGTAAACATAAAGAAACAAAACTACAGTCAGTCTTCCCGAACTCCCTAACTATACCAAAAACAGGAGGAAACAGGGACAAAAGAAATGGCACCCACTCCTACAACCTGGTCGGCATAAGAGTGAACATTTACAGAGACAGATCGTGAGCTTATGGTTTAACTGCAGAGATAACTGGGTAGGGAACAAGAGGTAAAGCTAAGCTATTTCATTTGGGAGGAGAATAGACAATCGCTAGCAACAAAACAAACAAACAAGCTGCGCTGCGGTTCACATCTAAAACAGTCGCCCCAAGCCGCCATGAAGGAAAGCCTCGATGACATCCGGCGCAGCCGTCGAAGATATACTCCATGCAATTTCAGCCAGCCAATCAGATGCAATTTCGTTACGGGTACTCCAGCCAATCACACACACAAGTGGGCGGGTTCCTAATAAGTGACAGTATGAGAGAGAGAGAGAGAAAGAAAGAGAAGCAAGCAAAACAAAACGTACGTCCTATGGACGTAACACTGTTACCAAAATTATTGTTAGAAAAAAATTATGTATTTTTTCATTTATGTGAACTATATGGTAATTAGTAGTTAGCATGCAGCATGTGCCCCCTGTCAAGCTAACAACTCCTGAGTGCTCCTTTTTTTAGACTAAATTCACAACCATGTTACCCAGTTTTTATCCATTAATTAATTTAAATGAAAATGAAATGAAAATGGATTAAAAACAAATAATTTAATGAAAACATTTTGATTAAAACAATTTTTCAACTTACTTTATATGTGATTTTACTACATTAATATAAGCGTAATGGGGAATATGATCTCTGTGTTCAGCCCTGTTACCCATTCATTAATGGGTAAAATGGCTTATATAGTATCTAATTTGACAGCCTGATGTGGGAAAATAACATTTTCTGAAGGTTGAGCTCTTACTTTGATTAATACTGTGTCAAAAACACCAAAGAAGAAAGTAAAGATTTAAAGAGATTCAAAGCCTAAAATGAACTCTGTTCTCAGAAAGTGTGTAATACATGTGTGTCACTTGGACGTGTGTCGGCCAAACGTAAAAGGAAAAAGTAGCAACTTTCACTTTACCTTCTCCAAAGAGTGTTTAGAGAAATTACTGAGTGTAATAAGAGATGAAGTCATTGTGTGATGGTGGGAGACGCATTAAAGACTGCAGCTCTTAACAGATGGTTGAATGTGTTTTAGTCTGATTCACAGTAAGAGACCAGACTCTCCTGAGCCCAGCTGTGTGTCTATGAAGAGTGATCAGTCAATGGACATACCCACAGCCTTCAAACAGGGAGAGTCTCCACCTGAACTGAGGTGAGTACAGTATCATGGATAATATTTATTACCACCCTGAATAGAGGGAGTTAAAGACCACTGTAAACACCAGTGCAGTTTCCCCATAGATGGCTTCATCTAGAATGAGGAAAAGCCTGTGATCGCCCCCTACTGTCTGGATCGAGGCATAGCCAGTCGATCTCAGATCACTATAATAAGATCTACTGGTAGATTCTCTATTTAAGAGAAGAGCTAAGCTTTATGTCTGTTAATACTCTTTATCATGGATTCACCATCATTTTCCTACTTTTTACACATGAATTCTCAAACAGCTCCAGAGTTATGATTTTACCACAGATGAATTATTCTGTTTATGAGCTACTGAGCAACAAATCATGTACAACTATAGTTTTTACTAGTACTAGTAACATAGAGTAGTATCACTCTACGTTAAGTAAGTACATTTTTTTTAACTTGCCACACTGTCACTCTACTATACACTCTAGGGATGGGAATCTTTAGGCACCTCATGATTCGATTCGATTACGTTTCAGAGGCTGCGATGCGATTATAAAACGATTATCGCTGCATCTCGCTGCATCTTTTTTTTCTATACATGATTTCTATTTTCTCACTGTCTGAGGACTTGGTAGTTTTAAAGCAAAGTATTTGTAATGATCCATAATGAATTTACGTCCAATATCTTTTATTAATGAAACAAATGGAAGTGATGTGGCAAGTGAAATGGAAGACTCTCATTCACTGCTGTTTGGAGCACGAGACGCTGCTGCCACTCATCTGCGATAAAATGCACTGTTACGGTGAAATAAGGTCCAGTGGTAATGGATGACCACGCAGCACTTTATATAGTCTTTAGGGAGTTCATAACTTCGGTTTTGGTCTCATGATGGGGGGGAGGGGAGCGAAAGACTGCAGGTCACATAGCAACGAGGTTTCGCCTGGCGAGTAGCGAAAGAAAAAGGAAAAGAGAAAGACGGACGAACATTGGGAGATGAATGGACTTATTCGCATTTATAAGCAGCGCAGTTTCCTGGTACATTAAATCTGCAACGAGAGACTCTCAAACACTACAAAGTGGCGAAGATGAAGTCGCTTCTCTTTCTAATTTTCCCGTTCCACCTTAAATGGTGCCGTATGATAGAATCCAAACCCGGGAGACTCGATCTGTTGTCTGGACAGGTGAAGTTTATTTGTTGCGTGCGCAGGTTCCAGACATCCAGCCAGCCCCCCTATACAATGGGCTGTCACACTTTTATAGCTGGACTGATGCCAAGATTAGACCCAGCGTATACAGAAAAGTAACATGACCATATAAGGAGAAAGACAACATTAGGCAACCTAAAATACAACTTCAAAACACACACACACAACACAGCACATTAACTTCCTTCATTCCCCCCTTAGAACATACTACAAAAGGTATGTTCTCGCAAGCTTAATCAATCTATCCTTTTCTCTTCCAGAGAAATATGGCCAGTATTTCCCTCTTTCTTTGCGTCCTAAAGACGGGTCTCTTTCCCTTCAGTCCGCATACAGGCAAATTGGGGAAATTAAGTGGTTCCATGGTTATAAGGAACGCCTATGCCGGTGGAGTTTAGTCATTAAGCACCAGAGTAATTTGAGGCAAAAGTAAATAACAATAGCAACTATTACCGGTGCTACAAAGGGAAGTACATAACGGAGCCGTTGCTGTAAGATTCCAGAAAATATACCTCCAAAAATGTTGCCAACCCAGTTAAAGATCTTATCAAGCGATCCCTCCGGAGCAGGATTTGGAATGAGTCTATGAAGTTATCTGGGACATAGATACAGCAAGAGGTATTGAGAATGTGACATACCCCTTCTTTTTCTAAGGTCAGCAAGTCTAAAACCTTCCTATTCTCGAGCACTTCTTCTCGTAACGCACGGAGTTCATCATTTACTAAGCGGAGAGCTTCACTAGTCTCATTAGCTAGTTTCTGTGTGGAATAAGCCAAATAATTTATCTTCTGTAAGGCATCTACAACACCTCCAAATGGAAATATTCCCCACCCTACTGTCTGCGCTATACTAGACCAGGGGTCCTTTATAATGTGACCATTCCATGTTTGTTTACCTGTTAGGGTAACGCCAAGTTCTCTTTTCATTCGAAGTAAGAGTCCATGAGATTGTAATGTGGTCCATGGATCAGTATGGACTGTAATAGGAGGCATGACTACAGCCATGTAACAGGAACCGCACCATGAATCAGATGGGAGTGATGGATAAGCCTTGTTTCCACAAACCCAATAGAAACCCAAAGGGAGTGGTTCCTTCATCCAAATACCGCATGGGTTGGTATTTGTGGTGGTAGAATGTTTACACCAAAATGTGCTATTCATAGAGAAGGCAGAGATTGAAACGGAACATGTACTGTTACCAAGATAAGTGTCCTCTGGATAACAAGGTTTGTCAATACATACCCAGCCTGAGGAAGCCCTCACAGGAATGGGATCTGCTACTCCATAATTCCAGTTAGATTTATCCTGATAATCACGCGCTATGGTTAAATTTGGATAAACCATAAAGTTGTAATTAGTATTATCAACTCTAACAGTATACTGCCAGCCAACAATCCGGGAGCTATCAGCATTAGGATTGTAACAGGCAGCTCTATTTGGCCTGAGACATCTAACAATCGGCAATGGCCAGTTATCTTCACTTATACCATCTACCATCATTTGTGCTATTATTCTCATGGATTCAGATGCAGAATGGTCTGTACATAAGACATTGGAATAACATAATAGCGGTGATGCAAGGCATGACAGACAAAACAACCATCACCTCCTAAGGTATGATTTTGTGCCCACAGGATGGCCTGAGCACAGACCATGTTGTGGTCACAAACATCCTCCATCATGCCTGCAAAAGCTATTGTCAGGATGTTTATGAAAACCACAGATTTCATTCTTCTTTATTCCCTTTTTGTTATAAAAGTCTTTTATTTTGCAGCTTGTCGTCATGGTAGCCGTCTTCTCTTCCAGAATATAGGGAGAAAGTGTTGATGTGTCCACACAGCTCACAGGGCAGCGTCAGGGGACCTAGATAGGCTTTGATGTCAGTTCGTCGACCACCATTCAGGAACCCATCTGATGTCCTGTTCCTTCATCACAGTGTCAGGTCTGCTCTGGGTATATCCTGGAAACAAAACAGACAGACACAGCGGCAGCATCATATTCTTAGTACACAACCCATGTCGTATGCCCTTGTATAAAGGTTTGGTTTAGCCCTTATAATGGATACCTTCTTTCCCTACCTAACCTGGGTCCTGGCCTCTGATGGGATTAGGGGAGCGCTAGCCGCAAAGGGGAATTAGGAAGATCTTCACTGCTGAGGTTGACCCCCATGACCTAAACATCATAGTTCCTCCTCAGAGCATTTCCCAACCAGAGTCACCCATTTTATCCCTAAACTAGCCATCACCATCAGGTGGTGGTACCACCTTGGTATGGCTCACATGTATCCATTTTGACTTTCCTTGACATTTTAGAGCAGAGGGTGTAGTAAGGAGGACCTGATATGGACCTTCCCACTTTGGCCCTAATGGCTGAGTGTTATGCACCTTAACCATTACCCACATACCTGAAACGATAGGATGACCCCACTTTGTGAGTTCTTTCCATGCATCCAACACTTGTTTCTGAGCAGCGGCAACAGCCTCAGATAATGTCTGGCAGTATTGCAGCAAACTATCAGACATAACATGTATGTGTCTGCCACTCTTAAATCAATAGTTCCTGGAAGTGACATAGGACGACCAGTAATAATCTCATATGGTGACAGCCAGGTACTTCTGTTAGTTGAAGCTCTGATGTTGCAAAGTACAGCTGGTAACGCTTCCACCCATGAAACCCCTTCATGATGTAACTTGGTTAGTCTGGACTTTAAAGTTCTGTTCATCCTTTCGACCTGACCTGATGCTTGAGGTCGATAGGGACAGTGGAGATGCCACTTTATCTCCAACAACCTTGCCACTTCTTGACAAACCTTCCCAGTAAAGTGAGTTCCTTAATCACTCTCAATGACCCTTGGGAGACCCCACCTTGGGATAAAATCTTTCACCAGACATTTAGCGGTATGCAGGGTGGTGCCTTTAGTAGTGGCATATCCTTCAATCCACCTTGAGAACTTGCAAATTATTATCAGACAGTCCTGTTTTCCCTGGCATCTTGGCAAAGTGATGTAATCTACCTGCAATTCTTGAAACGGGCCACTTGGTGGTGTCACAGTTTGGTAGGGGAGGGAGACTGCAAGTCCTGGGTTTGCCTTAAGACAGGTGGTGCAAGCTAGACAATGACTCTCTGCATACTTGCGGAATTTAGGATTCCACCATACTTGGTTGAAGCGGTGTACCATCTGGGTTACTCCAGGGTGACCTAGGCTATGTATGGTAGCCACCAAATAGGGAAGCAGGGCATCAGGAGCCACATATTTACCCCCCTTTACCCAGATACCATCGCGAAGAGCTGCACCTCGCTCAACCCAAGTCCAAACTTCCAAACCCGGGGCCTGCTGGTATAAAGCAAGTAGATCATCCAAAGTTTTAACAACAGGTTGTTCACAGGGTGACAGGATATATTCAATAGGCAAAAGACAAGCCCTTTTTGCTCCATTATCAGCTAAACAGTTGCCTTGGTGTTCAGCAGATGTGGCAGAAGAATGGGCTTTTATTTTAATAATAGCAACCTGTTTTGGAAGTGTGAGCGCTTCCATTAGGTCTGCCACCTGCTGAGCATTTTTCACTGGGGTTCCATTTGCTGTCAAAAAATGCCTCTGCTTCCATAACAAGCCAAAATCATGGCATATGCCATGGACATACTTCGAATCGACAAATACATTTGCTTTTAAACCTTTAGCAAGCACACAGGCACGAGTTAGCGCTACCAGTTCTGCCTGTTGTGCGGAATAATGATCCGGCAATCTACCGGTAGCTATTTCTTCATACTGTGTAGTGACAGCCCACCCTGTGCGTCGTCCCTCATCAAGGATGCGGGAAG